AAACCCAGGGTCTGCATATGTTAGGCAAGTGCTCTATCACTGAGTAACATTCCCAGCCTCTTGTATGCTAAAACTTAATTCTCTTGTTAAATAGGAGACCTAGTCATTCCTCAAAATAGATGTGTGGTATTATGTAATAGTAAGTGAATGTGAAAATGTATTTTTTGTGCATAAATTTTTGGTATAAAATATCTATAAATAGTCAAAATGCTCCCTTTAATTGAAACTGCAAATGGTTTTTGATGAAGTGCAGAGTACTTAAATTAAGATAAAGAAAAAGTGAGCTAATATTGTCTTGTGTTCTTATATCTTAAAACATAGCTGGTTATTATTTTAAAAACTCTTACTAAGAAGTGGTTAAGTTTAAGGCTGAGGCAAAAGGATTACAAATCCAAGGCCCACCTCAGCGAGTTAACTAGTACATTTTTCAAAAAATAAAAAGGGCTGGGGGTGTAGTTCAGGGATGGAAAACCTTGAGTTTAGTCCCCAGAACTGGAAAAAGGAAGTTTATGAAATCCTTATATGAGGGAGAAGGGAGGAAGTATTTGTTTATACTTAGGAGAGAGCCTAAATGTTCAATTATAAAATCACTATAAATAAAGTATACGTAAAATCTGGAAAAGAATTAGGCAATAGAGTCAAAATGGTTGTTTTATTTTGTAAACAAGGGTTGTATTTCTAAATACCTTATAGAAATATGATTTACGCAATTGAAATATCTGATAAAAATGAATACATGAAATTTATAGTTTTAAAATTTTGCTCATAAAGAAAACATCACATTTAAGGCTCATGTAAGTCAAAACAACAACAACAAAAATTCACCTTATTTTAAAAATAATACAGATTGGGGCTGTGGTTGTGGCTCAGTGGTAGAGTGCTCACCTAGCACATACGAGGCCCTGGGTTCGATCCTCAGCACCACATACAAAAAAAAAAAAAAGATATTGTGTCCAACTAAAAAATAAATATTTTTTAAAAATAATACAGATAAAATTTAAAAATAATACAGATCCCAATAATACCAAATTACTACCTGTTGCTGGTTAATTGAATACACTAAGAATTAACAGATTAACAACTAAACAGATCCATTTTTTCATGTAGGCCATGAGGTTAAATAATGAATTATATAAATAGATTTAATGATGTCACTAGTAAGGAAGAGAAGAATGTACCTCTTGGTATCTTGTTTATTCCCACTAAGCATATGTTCTTTAAAAATCAAATTACTAAACCATATGGAATAAATAACACCAATACATTATACATTCAATATTAAAAGAGTATAATTATATTCCATTTTATGTTTGAAACAATTGCACATTAATCATCAGAATTAAATTTGGTTGACTTTTTATAATAGAAAAAGTTATATGGCTATGTAACTTTCAATGAAATGTTTAGATGCTGTCCTATCACCATTTAACTCTGTCAAAGTAAAGTGGATTGTAATTCAAAGATACAACGGGGTGGTTGGTCTGTCAATCATAAATAGAGATGTACAATTGGAAACTCATTTTTCCTAACCTGTGTCAGTTTTGACACAACCCTGTGCCTGATACTCATTTTTGTGTTTTTTTTGCTTCAGTCTGTTGTCAGTTATGTCATAGAATCTCAACCATGTGGATTGTGATATCCTGTGTGTTGAAATAGCTTGTTTCTGCGGCAGATCCTAGATCCTCATGCATTCTAGGCAGATGCTTTGCCACTGAACTACCATCCTCATCACTGGCAAATTGTTTGTTAAGGGTTTTCACCTTTTGCAAAAATGTACTTAGATTCAAACTTATACTCTTAGGAATACTGTAATCGTGTACTTCCGTAGGTGTCTGAATTGAAACAAAGTAGAGTTTTCCTGCTAAGGAGAAACTCTAGAAAACAGCATTACTGCATCTTTCTTTTTTTGAGGGGGAGGGTACTGGGGATTGAACTCAGGGACACTTAACCAATGAGCCATATTCTCAACCCTTTTTTGTATTTTATTTAGAGACAAGGTCTCACTGATTTGCTTAGGGCCTCGCTAAGTTGCTGAGGCTGTCATTGAACTTCTGATCCTCCTGCCTCATCCTCCCAAGTTCCTGGGATTACAGGCATGTGCCTCTACCCTGTTCTTTAAAGAACAAAAAAATTTGATGAAATACAAAATGATGACCCATTGCATTTGTTTTTTGAGTCTTGTTTTTAGAATTACTAAAGGTGATTTTCCAGTTTTCGTACTGAGTTTTAAAGAAGTTGTCAATGAACTGTATTTTCTTGAAGTGGATGTAAATTATGGGTATCTGACCAAATTCATGAAAATAAGCAATGAGAAATAGAATAAAGGATTAGTTTTTACTTCAGAGATAAGTTTTTAATTATAGTTTTTTTTCTATAAGAAAAGCAGTAGAATTCTAAAATATAGTAGGAGTAACATGTGAATGGTGCTTATGAAATTTTGAGCTAAAAGAAAGTTATGATCTTTTCATCAGATTATTATAATTGGCAGGGGATGTAGCTCAGGAATAGAGTATTTGCTTACCATGTGCAAGACCCTGGGTCCAACTTCCAGTACCTCAAAAATTATAATAAGTATTATTTTTATTTTAGGATCAAAAATCAATGTGTTAGCATTTTTTGTGCTTCTAAGTTTCTCTTCAATATGGAAGATCAATTTTTGGACAAAATCTTTAAGACTTGCATCTGTATTGACCACCACAGCTACTTGGCAAGCATATGTCTTTGTTCCTAGATCTACCAATTTCTTCAGGGAAGTTTTGTATAAATGAGACTACCAAATACTTCTTTGTCACTTCCTTTTCTGGTTTTCAGGAAAGAATTATTGCAATGGATTTTTTTTTTTTAACAGTATTTATAATAGCTACCTTTCTAGGGAACTGAAATATAATGGTAGTTGGGAGGGCCTGGGGTAATAGTTTAGGGTGTTTAAACTGGGATGATAAAAACATAATTTACTTTTACAATGAGGTATTTTCCATTGTTTCTGAATATTCATCACAGTTTCACAGATCATGAAAGCTTGGTTCTAATGAATAGTCTTTATTGTGTGCCTGTCTAATGGTCTTCTTCTGTCTAGTGCTTCTTTTAGATGTCTTTTCAGAGAAAATAATCAATGGTGCATCTTAGTGGTGTTTTTGTTTTCAGTCTGCCACTCCAGAATTTCATGATCTTGGGTTGGTGTTTTTGCTAGTGCTGGGTATGCACAGTAGGGGGTACATATACAGAATGTCACAGGAGACAGCAAGTGGACCTTTGAAAATAAATTACCCTGGTTTAAAATCCAGAAATGCACTTCACTATGACTGAGGACAAAGCTTTGCTCTTTAGCTTTCATTCCTTCTGTGAAATAGAAACAGCAACTCCTCAGAGTTGTTGCCATAATGATTTCAATACATGCATAATCTCCTACCCATTTTAGGTTAATAATTAACTATTTATATTTTTTGAGTGTTTCAATAGCACTCATTGACCAAACTAAAGACACATAAAGAAAAGGGAGAAACAAAGTAACTTTGGGGATATTTTTGGTGTGTATATGTGTGTGGTACAGGATATTGAACCCAGGGTTTTTCTCCCACTGAGTTATCCCCCAGTTCTTCTTTATTATTGTGAGACAGGGTCTCTGTATGTTGTTAAGGCTGGCTTCTAATTTGCAATCTTCATGCTTCAGTCTTCCAAGTGACTGGGATTATATGCATGCACCATCACACCAGACTAATTTTCAGGACTTTTAAAATTGATTGACATTGTAAAATAATTAACTGGTGTTTCTTTGAATGCTGGAAATGTACTTCTCCATTCTAAAGCTAGTATAAGTGCTTAATAAATGCTTGTGTGTGGATGTGTTGCAAAACTTGAGTTTCTTCACCTCCTTGAGTTCTTGCCTACATATAGTTACCTGTATGGTCATATAGTACTTCTAAATGAGGTAATTTCAATTAATATATAAATTGTCCTTCACAAACAGCAAGATAAAATATATTCTTAATTGCTGATGATTTGGAGAAAATATGTACAAAATATTCTCTGCGGCAACAAGGTCAAACTAACCGTGTTAAGGTATTAGTAATTGGTAAATAACTTTACAGTAAATGAGAAGAAGTGAAAACTGTTTTAATGTGCTACAAATATTAGGAATCCTGTTGTCTATTTTCTATATTGCTTAAAGACAACCAGATTGTTGTATAATCAGGGTCCAATGGTGAGAGGAAACCCATTTCACATTAAATACACCAAAAATCCTTTCCTAGCATATTTTTAAGTAATTAGTTTTTTAAATTTATTTTTATTTAGCAAGTATCTGAACACCACAGAGTGTACTTGTATGTGGAAGATCATTCATTCAACAATATCTTCTTTGTTCCAATAAGTGTCCTAGATGCTTTGTTGCACCCTCTGCACAGTGAACCCCCAAAGACCATAGGCTACTTTCTAGTTTTCTTATTTTTGCCTGCCATATTTTATCAAAATGCCATCATGACCACTTCTTAACCAGTTAAGGCCTGTGTTTACAGTAAATTATTTTAACAACAGATTTTACTCAATATTAAAACATCCAATTTGAAAACTTCACCAGAGATTTCTATAAAAACAAAGCTAAATGCATCAAAAATAATCTCTGATAAGCTAATCCAAAATGTGCTGTTGAATTTCATGTGAGATAACTAGAAGAATTAAGGGACATTTTAACTACCAAGGAATTTGTACTCAAGTTGCAACGGATGTGTGCAAAGGCTAGCACATGATGTTCCCACCAGCATTATTCACAGTAGTCAAAAAGTGGAAATAATTCAAGTGTCCTTCATTTGGGAAATGAATAAAGCAAAATCTAACAGGTTCATATAATGGCATACTATTAATAAAAAGTAACAAAGTATGACTATATACTACAACATGGATGAAACTTAAAAGCATTGTGTTCACTGGAAGAAGCCAGATAGATACAAAAAACATATATTGTATGATCTTATTTATATGAAATATCCAAAACAAATATATAGAGAAAGCATATTAGTGGTTGCCTGGGGTTGCATGGGTTAGGTTTGGGGAAAAAAAACCATAAAAAAAATCTTGGCCTACATATATCATTTTATAAGAAATGTTAGCATAGAAGGATCATCAGAGGTCTTCTGATAGCCCCTCATTTTATAGATGGAAAGGCAGAAGTGACCTTTATTGGGGAGATCAGTTTAATTCAGACATGAAGTAGAATCTCAGCTTTAATTTGCATTTTCCTAACATAATGATTTTGACCATCTTTTTTGTATGTTTGTTAGCCAATTATAAATCCTCCTCGAGAAAGTGTTCAAAAAAATTTTTTTAATCAATTTTTTTAAAACTGTTCTTGGTCTATTCTGGATATACCTTTTTGTTGGATATGTGACTTGTGACTTATAAATATTTTCTTCCTGTCTGTGGCTTGTCTTTTCATCCTCTTAACAGGGGCTTCAACTGAATTTTTGACGACAGCAATTTATCAAGATACATATACTATACACACATATACAGAGTACGCGCGTGTGCGCGCGCGCGCGTACACACACACACACACACACACACACACACATATTTTCTCCCTAACTCTTTGATAAATTGTGCTTTTGGTGTCACTTGTTGCCTAACCCTTGGCCTCAAAGATTTTTTTCTCTATTTTCATCTAAACCCTTTTACATTTGTTTAAGTCATAACTTTAGGAGCTCCTTTAGATTTTAATATTTCTAAACTGATACCATGTTCAAGTCATTCTTCTAGCTTGTGTTTGTCATAACTTGCAACAAGAAAATTATTTAAGAAAGTTCATTTCAAGGAGTTTTCTTTTTCATTATGTTGTGACTATTATGCTTGAGTGCAGCTTATCCCAATGCACACCACTCCCCAGCACAGATTTAACAGGGTGATGACTTAATGATGTTTAATGATTAACAGCTTTTGTATTTGGTTGCTGAGATTGTGACTTGAAGCAGCTCTTGCCTTCATCCTGTGGTTCGCTGATCTAAAAGTGTGCTTGCTTGGCTGATGCTGCATTCCCAGGACTTAATATGTGTGTGTACATATATTTTAATAATCAATTCTCATGTTTAGCTTTTTTTTTACTTCATTACCAACCATGTTTTTCAAAATTAAAAAAAAAAAATTAAGAACTTTTAAACTCTTAAGGGTGAAAGTTTCTTTCTTTATATTTATTAGATTATTGCATCAGAGAATGTACTAAAATAAAATATTGGATAATTTTTTGTCTTAACTTAGTTAGTAACTTTTTCCATGAATTTTTAGGAATAATTATTAACCTTTTTGAAAAAGTAGAGTCATATACAAAAGCCTTTATGATAAAGCTTATTTTTATTTAATAATTATATTAAAAAAAAAAAAAAAGGATCCAAGCAGAGCATGGTGACACATGCCTTTCATTCCAGCTACTCAGGAAGCCGAGGCAAGAGGATCAGAAACTTTGGACCAGCCCATGCAACTTAGCAAGACACTGTCTCAAAATCAATTTAAAAAGAAAATGGGGATGTAGATCAGTTGTAGAACACTTGTCTAGCATACTTGAGGCTCTGGATTCTACCCGTAGTGTTGCAAAAAGAAAAGGATCCAAGTTGTTTATGGTTATCTCACCCATGTGTGTTTTTTTTTAATTAAAAATGTGTTAATCTCATCACTTTTTATTACCTTATAAGGTTAATTTTCCTGTACTACAATGGCCTTTCCATATATCTTGATACAAGACAACAAATAATGTACAAAAGAAGCTTTCAATAGATGTTGAGTGTAGTTGCTGCTGATATTTGTGACTTATGGGGCAGAAAGTTTTGCCTAGAGTGCATGGAGTCAAATGAGCATTGGGATATGGTTTCAGGGTTTCGATTTGTTATTTAGAAAAAATTATTTGGTAATTTCTATAAACACTTATGCATTATTGTGGTGTCTTATTCAAAAAGAATAGCATTTGTTAGGGATGACATACATAAAACATCATTGCAGTTCCTGCAACTAGGTAAGCATTCAGTTGATTTAGCCTTTTTTTTTTTTTTTTTTTTAATTTTCTTGGCACTTAAGAACCTCATCTGGTATTTCATTACACAGTGTCACTGTGTACTCTTGTGCCTCACTGTATGTATTGTTTTCAAGCTGATTTTTTTTATTTGCTCATTTGTTAATTTTATGTCTTTTCTCTTGGTATATCCTTTTGACAGAGACTCTCCTTTCTTCTTCTTGACATTTAACTTTCTTAAGTGTGCATAAAGTAAACATTCCCCATGAAGGTATTTAGGAGAACCCAAAGGCAAACTGATGGTATAGATATGAGACCATATCTGTACATGGTACAGATATAAAAAACTTAATTGTTAATTTACAGGAACAGTTAATGTCTTGGTCTGTTGGTGGTTCTGGGGAGTGGTAAGGGCAGAAGAAGGAGGTTTGTGTAAACATAGTAGTGCATTTTCTGAATAAGTACATTTCTCAGTTAAAAAAAATGCATAAGGAAGAACACATTTTCTTCCCTTTCATAAGGGAAGAAAAGCAGTTTCCAAAGACATTTCATAAGGAAATTCTTGCTTTGATAAAAGAAAGCAAAAGTATATAAATTTAGAGAAGTTATTGCTTTTAGAGATTTTTCAAGGTTTGTTGCATCCACTAGTTGAGATCTTGAATTTTCCTGAACTTGATTCACCTAAGTAGCAACCATCAGGAAGTATATACAAACTCACAAAGTCCCCAAGAAGGTAAATCTTTAACTCTAATAGAATACTATAGGTAAAGCACTATTCTAGACCAATGGTTCTCTATCTCAGCTGCATTTTAAAATCACTTGGCATAGATTTTAAAAATCCCCACAAGACAAATCAATTTGTGGGAATAGGATAGACCTAGTTATCTAGTTTCTTAAACTCCCCAGGCAATTCCACTGTGCAGCCAGGTTTAAGAACCACTGTGACAGATAATGAGCTACTTTACCCATTGAACTCCTAGTGACCTGGTGATTCAAGATGTATTGTCCAATTTTGCAACTGAAGTTCTGGCAAGATTAAATGACTTGGTTACCAAATCATGCAACCCAGGCATCAACCAAGATCTCTCAAGATCTTGAGTCCTGTCAATAACTCTTGATGATTAAGATGTAGATATTTTCTTTTTAATTGAAGATGTGTATCTATGTTACCCTATTCCTATGCCTTTGTGGAATGATGTAAGACTGTCACTGGGAAATTATAATGTATGTATTTAGTATTTAGTGAACTCGGTACTTTTGTTTTCCCCTGGCATGCCACCCACATATCCCCATCAAAAAAGCATGAAATTATACATACATACGTGTGTGTGTGTATATATATATATGTGTGTGTGTGTATGTATGTATACATATACATACATACACACATAAATATAATCTAAAGCAAGGATTCAAAAATATAGATATTAGAATAATAGTTTTCCACATTAGAAATGCTACAGTAGGCTACCCGTATCCATGGGCTCTGCATTTGTGGACAGTCAACCTAAAATTGAAATATTTGAGGGAAAATCTGTATGGAACATGTATAGATGTCTGTTCTTATTTCCTAAATAATATAAGAAATATTTACATAGCATTTGCATTGCATTAGGTATTTAGAGCTGACATAAATTAGAAGGATGGGTGGGCACAGATATATAAGGGACTTGATCATCCATCCTGGAACCACTCCTTGCAGATACTGAGGGATAACTATTAGCCTTTCATCTTACATAAATATGACATATTATGCAGTTTTTAAAAGCTATTCCAAATATATAAGCAAAATGATGAATAAAAACCAGGGTTTTGGTATTAGAAATGTTATTAGTAAATGACTGGGATGTTGAAGCAGTTTCCAAAGACATTACTTGTTGATGAGAGGCAAGAGAATGGAGAAATCATGTTATTTAGCACTTTATCAGAATACTACCATAGGGAATATTAAGCTTTTACTCACCAGAATTATTTTTAGGAAATTTTATTTCTTTTACTGGAATATGTGTGTTTAAAAACAGAATACAGGATAAAAATGGGAGTTCATAACACACTTGAATCAAAGTGTGAAATATGATATATCAAGAACTATGTAATGTTTTGAACAACCAACAATAAAAAAATTAAAAAAAATAAAATAAAAACTAAAAACAGAAAAATAAAAGTTGCTTTGTAAAAAGTTACATGGCAAGTTAATTTGGAGTATACCACCAGTGAAAGCCGAAGAAATCTGGGTGCTTGTTGTGTTGTTCACTAGTTCATTCTGCACGTATATGTACATGTCCATTAGTTTATTAGTTTCCATGTATATAAATGTATATATACTCAAATACACAGATATGTGCATACATATATTTAGGGTAAGGTGATCAGAAGCTGGTCTTGTGTATATTAAGAATATTAAATTATAATTAAGTATGAGTTAGAACAACTTGTAAGTTATACTACCTTTGCACCACATAGTGATTTTTCTTGTATACATAAAAAGTATAGCAAAATAATTAATATTGTCCATTTGTTTAACATGGTTTAAGAAGACAAGACATTTTAGAGACACTAAACTATCTAATTTGAATTAAGCAATACCAGCTTTTCAGGTGAAATCTAAATAAAGTTAAAAGAATTCTGTTATTACCTACTTGACCCTTTTGCTGCATGAATTAGAATACAGAGCAGGTTATGCTTTCTGGATATGACAATTGAATTACAACAAAAACTCCCACTACTCATGCAGAACTTATCCTTGAAGGCCTGGTGATACAAAGAAATTCTATTGTGTTCCTGTGCTCCACTTTACATAATTACTATGTTCCTAAAAGTAGTACCAGGGAAGAGTTTGAGGTGAATGTAATATAACAAAATGACTAAACATAATGAAAACTGTATTTTAGAGAATTGTTTTTGAAGAAATAATTGAGCATACTCTGATAAAGATAATGTACTAATCAAAAGTGCAAAAAAATTTCTATTCATGGTTTCTGTTTAAAAAAATTTTCTGGCAGAGAAGATGATGTATATTGGAAAC